AGCAGGGTCGGGGCTCTGGGTATAAATGGTCAGGGGCCGACTCTACTCGGAAGGATAACCGTGGAAGGTTAGGGTAGCTGTGATGAACGTAGAGGTATTTGAGATGTTAGGGGGTCCAAAGGTTGCTTGTTAACATGTTTTCCTAGTTGTGGTTGTCACTAAATGTTATGGAATCTGTTATGTTTGAATGTATAAAGTGTTGAGAAGCATGACTATGAGTGTTTCAGGATATAGTTGAGCATGATGTGTGCATGTGTTGGCGAGGGCTACTTACGGAGTATATTTTATATACTCATCCCCCCCTCTAAATTGTTGTTTCAGGTGAAGGACTCGTGGGCGACCATGGTGATGGGACGGAGGAGACATGACGAGCGGGGACCATAGGCTGCTAGTCACTCTTGCTTAGTTTAAGTGATTGGCTTAGACCTTATGTTATGGTTAATAAACTTTTGTCGTTTTTTGAATAATCGGGAGGTTCCCCCTTTGTTGTTAATTTCATTTTGAGAATAGGTGACTATCTTAGTTCTATTCCATTTATTGAGTTTTGCCTAGTTTGATTAATAATTTTGTCTTGTGGGGTGGTCCACGAATGTTATTGAATGCTACCCTGTCAGATTGATTTATTGTTAAATTGATGAGAATTGGGACTTGATATATATACTTGTTTGCATAAGGGGTTGGCATGCCGTATTTGGGGGTTAAGTTTAAGTAGTTGGGTAGTTAACGTGACCTAGAAGCGTGTGGAAAATTCTAGGTCGTTACAATTTTTCTTACTTGAAAATAAAATACTAGGCACCTTTAAATAAATGTGAGAAACTTCCCTTAATAAGGAAACTAAAACATAAATTCCTAATTACATAAAATATAGGAAACTATGAATTCCTATATAAAAAAAGGAAAGAATAAATATTTACGATAATTATCTAAAATATATAAAACCAACACTCCCCCTCAAGCTAGTTTGAAGATGTCTTCCATTGCCAACTTGTCAATCAACTTGTCGAATTGCAGTTTTGGAAGGCCTCTAGTTAATAAATCAAAGATTTGTACTGTAGTTGGCAAGTAGGTGGTACATATTACTCATGCATTGATCTTCTCTTTTATAAAGTGTTTGTCGACTTCAATATGTTTTGTCCTGTCATGTAGAACTTGATTGTGAGCTATGGAGATGGCAGCCTTGTTGTCACAATAGATACGAATAGGTTCTTTTCGAGTAAACTTAAATTCCTCTAGTAGCCTTTTGATTCATATACCCTCACAAATACCATGAGCTAAAGCTCTAAACTCTACTTCAGCACTACTTCTTGCTACTACATTTTGTTTTTTGCTTCGCCAGGTAGCTAAGTTACCTCCAACAAATGAACAATAACCGATGTACAACGTCTGTCTGTATCACTACCAGCCCAGTCGGCATCGATATAAACTTCAACTTGCAAATGTTCATGTTTTCTGAATAGTATACCTTTGCTTGGAGTTCCTTTCAGATATCTTAGGATCCTATAAACTGCTTGAAAATGAACTGAACTAGGAGAATGCATGAATTGACTAACTACACTTACAACAAATGCAATATCAGGATGACAAATATATAAGTCTACCCACAAGTCTTTGATATTTCTCCTTATCTTTAACTTCATCATCATCTTTTGCAATCTGTAATTTTAAATTAGGTTCAATAGGAGTTTCAGCAATCCTGCAGCCAAGTAAAACCTGTTTCTTTAAGTAAGTCAATGATGTATTTTCTTTGATTAACAAAGATCCCTTTTTTTTGATCTAGTGGATTCTATTTCTAAGAAATATTTTAAAGTACCCAAATCTTTAATTTGGAATTCACTAGCAAGTCTTTTCTTAAGAGAGTTCAATCCATCTTCATCGTTTCCTATAAGGATAATGTCATCAACATATACAATCAAAACAACCATTTTACCATTTTCATTGTGTTTATAAAAAATAGTGTGATCCTCTTGGCTTTTAAGTAAACCATAGCTAGTGACTGCTTTCTCAAAACGTTCAAACCATGCTCTAGGAGATTGTTTAAGGCCATAGAGAGACTTCTTCAATTTGCATACTTTGTTATTTCCAATATCCATTTCAAAACCAGGAGGTAAATCCATAAATACATCTTCTTCTAGATCTCCATTGAGAAAAACATTTTTGACATCTAATTGGTGAAGAGGCCAATCTAAATTAACAACAACATATAAAAGAACTCTAATAGAGTTAATCTTAGCAACAAGGGCAAATGTTTCTTGATAATCAATCCCATAAGTTTGAGTGAAGCCTTTGGCTACCAATCTAGCTTTGTATTTTTCAATACTACTATTAACATTGCATTTTATAGTGAAAACTCATTTGCATCCCACTGTTTTTTTTTCTTTAGGTAGATCTACAATGTCCCATGTGCAGTTTTGTTTTGGTGCATCCATCTCTTTCATGACTGCTAATTTCCAATTTCAATCATTTAGGGCCTCTTGTATGTTCTTTGAAATAATCAAGTTATTTATTTTAGAAGTGAAGGCTTTAATACTATCTGACAGTTTTTTATATGAAAAGTAATTTGCAATAGGATATTTAGTGCAAGTACGAACACCTTTCCTAAGGGCAATAGGAACATTAAGATCAGATATATCAGGTGAGATTTTTTGAATGGATGATTGATCAGGAATAGGAGACTGATTACCTGGATTTTCAATATCATTCCTCGGAGTAGTAGACTAGGGTGACAAGTCAGTTCCATGATCTTCATTCTTTGATTGAATCGTCCCCTAGTATAAACTTGAAGATCATTATTTATATCACTAGGGTCATTTTGTGGTGGTTTTTCTCTCTGTGGATGAAAATATTCCACACGTGGTACTGAAAAATCAGGAATATAAGGACAAATGATATTCGGGAGAGAAGTAGAGATGTCCCAAAAATTATCTTCAGAACTCGATTCCTCCCCCTAAATGGAATTTTTAGAAAAAAGGATTGATTTTCCCAAAAAGTGACATCCATACTCACATAAATTTTCTTTGTTGTAGGATCAAGACATTTATAACATTTTTGTGTCGAGCCATAGCCTACAAAGATACATTTGATAGCCCGGTGATCAAGTTCAAATCAACAAAGATTAGGGATGTGAATATAAGTAGTATATCCAAAAACTTTTTTTGGTAGGTTAGAGAAAAGACGAACACTAGGAAAAAAAATTCTTTTAGAAAATCAAGTGGAGTTTTGAAGTGTAAAACTTTAGAAGGCAACACGATTTATTAAATTAGCAGTCGTGAGAACAGCTTCTCCACATAAATATTTTGGAAGATGCATAGAAAACATAGTGGCACGAGAAACTTCAAGTAAATGTTTATTTTTTCTTTCCACAATACCATTTTGTTGAGGAGTGTCACGACCATTAGATTGATGAAAAATGCCTTTACTTTTAAAAAATTCGCCTAAGTAATGATCGAAATATTCAGTCTCATTATCTAAGTGAAAAATACTTTGGTTTTAAATTGAGTTTCAATCAATTTTTTTAAATGAATAAAAGGTCTTTCACTTCATTTTTTTTTTGTCATTAAATAAACCCAAGTTAAACAAGTGCGATCATCAATGAAAGTTACAAACCATCGTTTCCCACTATAAGTTGAAATTTTGGAATGCCCTCATACATCACTATGAATTAAATAAAAAGGTTTTGAAGTCTTATAAGGTTGAGAGTATGTAGAACGATACTATTTAGAGCTTGTTTATTACTAGTTGGAAGTTCTTCAAAGAAATAGAGACCATTGAGCATCCTAGCACGTCCATCGTCTTCCCCGAGTCTTGATCCTGAAAGAGACAATGAGTTTCAAAGAAAGTGACACGACAGTTAGAATCTTTAGAGATTTTACTGACACATAAAAGATTGCATGCTAGTTTAGGAACATGAAAGACAATTTTTAAGGTTATATTTTATGTTAATGGAATAGCTCCTTTTCCTGTAATGGAAGAGAAACTGCCGTCTGCTATTCGAATTTTTTCATTGCAATATGTAGGAGAGTAAGACTCGAAAAATTTAGAAGAGCTAGTCATATGATTGGAGGCTGCAGAATCTATAATCCATCGAGATGAATTTAGACAAGATAAGGCGTAAGGATAAATACCTAATTGTACCAAAGAACCATTACTAGATGATGAATTAGTCTTTAGCAGCTTTAGATGTTGATCAATTTGCTCTTTATTGATGGTAAGAATCAACAGTATTCGTATTGGAAGAACTAGATGCTTGGTTGCCACTACTCTTCTCACCTGGTTTATTACTCTTCCAATTTGCCGGTTTTCCATGAAGTTTCCAGCAAGTTTCACGGGTATGTCGAAGTTTATTACAATAGTCACACCAGACACAAGATTTCTCATTCCCTTTATTATGATGATTTGAAACTTTATTAGCAGCTGCCTCATTCACCAGTGCAGAACTTTCGATAGTATTGTTTGTAGTTTTCTTACTGAGCATAACATTCCTACAACTTTCTTCACATCGTACTTCAGAAAAAACTTCATTAATGTTTGGAAGTGGTTTTCTACCAATTATTCTACCTCTGACTTCATCAAATTCTACATTTAGACTGACAAGGAATGTTTAAATTCGATCATTTTCTATAGTTTTTAGATGATGTTTATAGTCCTCCGACGATTTCCACACGAGTATCAAAAAGGTCTAGGTCTTGCCAAATCCTCTTTAAATAATTAAAATATTTTGTAACTGTATCAGTTCCTTGTCGTGTTTCTCTGCGTTTTAGTGTCATTTCAAAGGCCTATGATTGATTTTCTAAGTCGGAATACATCTCATTTACGTTTTTCCATAATTCACTTGCTGTAGAATAATACATATAGTTAGTGCTGATCTCCTCATCCATAGAGTTAACTAACCATGTCATTACCATAGAATTTTCAATATCCCATGTATGAAATAAAGGATCTTCTGCCGCCGGTGCTTTTTTATCTTCAGTAAGGTAGCCAATTCTACCTTGTCCACGAATATACATCCGAACACTGTGAGACCAAGGAAGAAAATTATCTCCATTAAGTAATTTGGATAGGATAACTGGAGGAATTGAACCAGGTTTTGGAAATCTTAGAGCCACAATCTGTTATCTTTGAAGATTCTCCCGTCATGGTTACTGATTTGAACCAAAAAAAAAAAAAAGGAAAAAAATACACAAATGTAACTTGCAATAGGAAAGTTAAATCTAACTTTCAAGTTTATTCAACTTTTAAGTTCTTGATTTTAAAATATCCATTATAGTCTCAAGATTATTAAAATAAGTATCTTTTTTTCCTTTTAAACCTTCCAATAGCGTCTATTTTAGTTTATAAACTTAAAAGAAAATAATTATTTTTGTATTTTTCTATTATTATTGTTATGATATAAGACCTCTATCAAACTCAAAATATAAATATGAATCTCCAAATTTCATAATTTTCAGCCAACACATAATACACGCTTTAGCCAATCCGTATGGCTTTAGAACATGCTCTTATTTATTAGAAGTCACGTTATCTGACTATTAGTAATTAACAACAGAATTCTCTCAAATCCTAAGATTTATTGCATGTTTGCAAAATATTTTGAAAACACTTTATTCACATTTTACATGATCACAAATACATATAGTTTGTTCATTATTACTTGGATGAAAATATTTCAAAAGTAATTAATAAGACACACTATTTGCAACAAAACACATAGTATCAACACAATTTTCGCCACAGGGTGGTCAAGTGCCTAAAATAGGCATGTCTCCAAGTCTTACTAATCAACAATGGACCCCAAATCCCCCAAAACCCAACCACGAAACCATTTGCCAAACTTAGATAAAACCAGTTGTCAATATAATCTTCATCATCTTCCTTTGCATCTCCGTTTTTTCTTTCTTGTTTCGTCCCTTCCTCTCGACAACTGTTCGTCAACGGTAGTCCACATAACTCATTTCCTACGAAGCTGGACGGATCCAAGCCTTGCAGTTGTGTGCTGCTTGGTATGGGACCTGTCAAGTTGTTGTAAGTCAAGTTCAAGTAATTTAAGAACGTCAACTCCGACATGCTTGGTGGTATCTGCCCTGAGAGTTGGTTTCTTGAAAGATCGAGAGATTCTAAGTCTTTCATGCTTCCAATCTCTCGTGGAATACTTCCTCTGAGATGATTTCTCGAGAGATTCAAAGATCTCAATACAACGAGTTTGGTGATTTCTCGAGGGACTTCTCCCGATAGGTTGTTGTTTGAAAGGTCCATGCTCGTCACGAGGCCAAGGATACTGTCGTATTCAAACTCTCTTCCTTTGGTCATTACATATGCCTTCTCCAACAATTCACCGCGATAATCACCAACAACATACGAGATGTCTTTAAAGAAACGCATCTTGATAGCCATGGCTGTAAAATTGCCAAAACAATGTGGTATGGACCCAATTAAGTTGTTAATCCCAACGTCCATGATTTGAAGAAACGAGAGATGACAAAGTTCATTTGGGATTAAACCACTCAACTGATTGGATCGAAGCATAAGAACAACAAGTTTGGAAAGATTTGTCCCAATCCATGCTGGTATGCTTCCATGAAATGCATTGAAGCTGAGATCTAATATTATCAATTCCAAGCAATTTTCAAAGGATTGAGAAATTTCTCCCACAAGATTGTTGTTGCGTAGATGCAATGATTGTAGGTTGCTGAGAGAACCCATAGAACTTGGTAGCTTGCCAGACAAGTTATTGTTACCCAATTTCACAATCTTTAAGGAATTCCATTTCCTCCAACAATCAGGAATGTTGCCAGATAAAAGATTGTTCTCAAGATGAAGAATGTTCAATTCATTATGAGTTCTCTTAAAACGACATAGGATTTGAGAAATGTCTCCAGAGAATGAATTGTTGGAAAGATCAAGCTCCAAAACTCTAGCAGATATTCGAGGCAGGTTGCCATGAAATTTATTAGAACCAAGGTACACAAATTTAATATTAAGAACGATATTTTGAATTCTACCCGACAGTTGATTATGAGAGAGATTCAAGAATGAATATGTTGTAGACAAGTTCCAAAACCAATTTGGAACAGTGTCTGAAATTCCAGTATTAGATAGGTCAATACTATCAACACTGTTTTGTGATTTGAGCCATTTTGGAAATTTGGGACCTACGTGGCAAGATCTTAACCTTATTTGTGTAAGATTAAAAGGAGGAATCCACCCAACCAGGAAAACTAATGTCAAATTGTTTCCAGACATATCTAAATATCTTAGATTCATGAGATTGGCAAAGTGAACCTCCGATATAATGCCTTCCATGCGATTATAAGAAATTTTCAGTACTTGTAAACTCGACAAAGATCCCATGCTTTTTGGAAGAGTTTCATTTATTTCATTGTGAGACAGATCTATAAGCTCCAATGAAGACAAATTTCCTATTGATTCTGGAATTGGGCCAAAAATGGAGTTACTCTGAAGGTAAAGAGTTTGCAGATTTCTCATATTAGCAATATGATTTGTAAAACGACCCGAAATGTTACTGCTCCGTAAATTCAAAAAAATCAAACTATCCTTAACGCAACCCGAAAAGTTGTCGAGTAATTCGGATAATTCGTGGCTAAATTTGTTTTGCTGCAAAGAAATGAACCTCAAGCTGCAAAGAGTTCCTATTGATCTTGGTATGCTGCCATTGAATTCATTGTATGAAAGGTCAAGAGAAACCAAATTGGTAAGATTGGCAATGCGACGTGAGATCTTCCCTTGAAAGCCAAGATATGAAAGGTGAAAATATTGAAGATTATGGAGAGAATATAAGCAACTGGGTATGGTACTGGAATTGAAATCATTGAAAGAAAGATCGAGATATGTAAGAGCTGACAAGTTTCCAAAATCACATGAAATTGGACCTTCAAAGTAATTATCTAAGAGATCTAAAGAAGAAATTGTGGAAATACTAAACAAACAATTTGGTAGTGAAGAATTTAAGTTGTTAGAGGCTATGTTGAGGGTTTGAAGGGATGTCAAGTTTGAAAAACCTCTAGGAAGAGGACCATGGAAATCACTACCACTAAGATCAAGTGAAACAAGATTAGCAAGGCTGAATATCCATTTGGGTATGAATGAATTGAAATGGTTTGATGAAACATCCAAAATGGAGAGAGAAGTAGTGAAATTTACATGGCTCAAATGAGTGATATGATTCAGCTCACAATTGGACAAATGCAATTCCACCAAACAAGGAAGCTTGTTGATCTCCAACAACCAATTTGTAGCTTTACTGAGATTTGTGTGGCTCAAATCCAAGCTCAACAACGAAGGAAGCCCTTGAAGCCATTGAAGATCTTCACTGTACAACAATTTACCTCGCAAACTCAGTTGTTGCAAGTTTGATAGATTTCCAAGTTGATGAGGTATCAATCCTTGAAATCCTGAACTTGTGAGGTTGAGATACTTCAAACTTACAAGTGACCCCAAGAAGCTTGGAATCTGTCTCCCTTCAAAGTCATTATAACTAAGATCAATATGCGTTATATGCTTCAAATTCAAGATGGAGTCGCTTAAGTTTCCCTTTAACTTGTGGCTTTCGAAAGAATTCATGTCTTCAAATTCAGTGTTTGCAAGGTCGAGTTCTTCGACATGGCCGGTCGAGTTGTCGCAGCGAATTCCGGCCCATTGACAACAATCTGTTCCAACCATCCAGGATGAGAGACGATTTGATGAGTCTTGAAGCTCTTGTTTGAGTCTCAGAAGTGCATCTCGCTCTGTTTCGATGCATAGTTCATTGGTTGCCATGAAAAGTGATAGGAGGACGAGAATTTCAAAGGCTCTTGAAAATTTGTTTCTATCCATCTGCGTACAAAGTGGGAAGGAATCAATTTTGATGAAGTTAATAACAAGGAATCAGTTTGAAGTTGTGTATTAGTTGAAGAAACCTATCACTGTCTATGAATGGAAAAAGTATCTATTTTCCATGAATTTTTTACTATGAGTATACGCAAACGATTATCAAAGACATCATATTATTGTAAGACTTTGACTAATTCTCAACAAAAAAAAAAAAAATAATAATAATAATAATAATAATAAAAAAGTATTTTTATAGAAGTTGAACTCAAAATTACATAATGCATAAATCACCTCTAAACTATAGAGACGGATGGGATATTACAATCGGATGACATGATTTTAATGCATGATTTAACCTGATTTTTTTTAACTCGAAAGATTTTGTAAACTATATTATCAAACATAAAAAGAAAAACATGTATATTAATTAATAGACAGTGAACATAACTCAAATTTGTTGATGCAATAATGATGAAAGAAAACTATAATTTATAAATATTGAATGTAGAAACTCTAACGGTGGCTCATTGGTCCAGAGAAGCTAGGGTAAATTGGGAGGAATGAATTCAAACCTCATGATAGCCAACTACCATATAAATTAATTCTTATGTCTTACCTAACTTGCACCAAATGTTGTAGGGTCCAGCGGCAAACCATAAAGAATATGATATCATATATATTGTTATAGAGAACAAACGGTCCAAACGAGACGAGAGGTCGGACCGTTAAAGAAGAAATGTGCCCGAGATCATCAACCTCAGCCGACCCAGCATCCCTGTAACGCCCCACGATTTTATATATCATCCTAGGCAACGCTAAATAATTCACCTGGCTAGTCTTAACTCTAAACACGAGATAAGCAACTCCCTGGGAAAATAATTTAAACGAAATAAAGCTTCGACTCCCATACGTTCTATCAGAAATAAAAATGTCATAAACTGTCAGGACTTCGCCCTCCGTGGGCAATTTAAAAACAGAAACATCTCATATCCGCCTCAGTGGCAAAAATTCTTAAATAAATAAAACAACCGTACACCTAAACTCCAACGACAACAGTGACGCGTTTACCAGCAACATCCATAACAAAATAAGTAGTTCTAAAGAATACAAAATTCCTCCTCGGTCCACACCTAGCAATAACATAAATCTCAATGCTACTCGTACCCAACGACCCTTCCCTCTATCCTCACTAACTAGGCTAGTGATCCCTCCTCGGTCAAGCCCTCTCCACGTCATCACCGCGGTCGACCCTGTTCACACCTAAAAACATATAAGGGTAAAAAAAGGGGTGAGTACGTAAGGTACTCCGTAAGTAGCATTTCCTAACTAGCACAAAAATCATGCTCACAGTCACGACATATAGAATAAAACAATAGTAAGGCAATTAAATAGGCAGCGAGAGATAGCGAACAATAACTTGACATTTACATACAACAACCATGCGTCAGAACTACCAAGACTACAACCCATGATTCACTAGCCCTTGTCTCATAGTACTAAACCTTCCTGTACACCCCCCTGTGTTACTCCCCGCTTAACTTCTCGAGGCATGACGGCTCTTGACATTTATTCCCAAGTTACCGCACCCCTTCCTTTTACAGTACTTGATGTTCGACCTTGCCATTTATTTCCAAGGCCTAGCACCACTACTTCGCAAGCACCACTCTACTTTAATCCCTCAAGCCTAAC